GCACCAGTTTCGGCCCGAGCCGGCGAAAAACGGGCTTCTAGGGGGGGTCCGCCCTGTCGGCGAGTCACGCACCTATTCCCACCGTTTTTTCCCGCTTTTCCCCCACTTTCCTCCCATTTTCTCCTTTCCTCCCACCAATCTCCCTCCCGCTCGCCTCCCAGCCGGCCGCCATGCCACCGAAGAAGTACATCGTCCCCCGCGCGGCGGCAACCGCGACCGCCTCTGTCGCCCAGCCGAAGCAGACGAAGCCGAGGGCGCCGCCGTCGAAGCCACCGGGCATGCCGAACGCCGAGTGGAGGGCGGAAGTTCAGCGACGGGAGGCTGTCACCGCCGACCAGCGGAATAGGGCCATCGCCAAGAAGGCCCGTGACAACGCGGCGCGCACGGCTGCGGCTGCCGCTTCGACGGACCAAGCCGAGGCCGAGGCGATTCGCGCGGGGATGATGAATCCACCCGGCAGCCACGCCCAGTACGCTCCCTGGGGCCAGCAAAGCTTCGGCTCTCCGTCGCCACAGACATGGGGATCACCCTCGCCGAGCTACGCCGACGGGGACGCGCACGGTGGGTTCAACCCAAACGTCACATTCCCCCATGGACACCCGGCACAGCGCACACCCTCACCGGTGACCTTCACCGGCGTGCAGTACCCTTCATACAACTACTCGCCGCCCATATACGCGTCTTCCCCGACGCCCCATCTCCGTCGTTGTGCGTTGCCCTTCTCGCACCTCGGCGACACCGACAAGACCGAGGGCGACATGGACGACATCATCGCCGCAGGTTCGGCCGCGACCGCCGCGTCTCCCGGGTTCGACACCCCGGACGAGACGGTGGATCTCAGCGGTGGCATGGATGGCGAGCTCGACTACGTCTACGGCGAGGAGGAGCAGGAGCAGGAGGACGAGGACGAGGAGGATGAGGAGGTGGAGGAGGAGCCGGCGACTGTTCCGGCGAAGGGGCGCAAGAAGAAGACGCGGGCGGCCAGGTCAGGCGAGCCGCGCATCAAGTGGGCGTCCAAGGAGGAGGAATGCCTCGCCGAAGCATGGAAAGTCGTCTGCCTCGACCCGACCACCGGCACGAACCAGAGCATCGAGACGTACTGGGAGCGCATCAACGCCGAGTTCGACGAGCGCAAACTCATCGACCCCTACTTCAAGGGCGTCTACATGCAGCGCGGCTCGAAGGCGATGGCGAACCATTGGGGGCATATCCAGGGGGTGTGCAACAAATGGCATGGGGTCATCAAGGAGGTTGCGGCTCGCCCGGAGAGCGGCGCCAGCGTTGAGGATCAGGTATGCCACGCCGGTCTCCCGCCTCTCTTCGCCGTGTGCGCCCGCCAACTGTTTGTTCCTCCGCACAGTTGCTGCGCATGTTCGTCCTGTACCGGCAGAGCAACAGCGACGCTGAATTCAAGTACCTCCATGTTTACAAGCGCATTGACAAGTGCGAGAAGTGGGCGGAAGTCCGGCGCACCCTCGACAAGGCCAAGGAGACCTACAAGCCAGACGCGCCAACTCCTGGTGCATCGGAAGGGCGACAGGATAGCAACAAAGGTGTCAAGAAGGGGAAACATGCCGACGCGGCCACCGCTCGAGTGCACGAGTCCATCGAGCACTGCCTCGCCGACGCGCAGGCTCGGGCCGTCCTTCGTGAAGAGAAGACCGACGCGCGGTGGTCGGCGTTGATGTCGAGCAGCGCCGTCAAGCTCGACCTGCTCCGGACCAACGTCGCCGCCAAGAAGAGAAACACCGACCTGGCTTTCCTGTTGGGCGGGGCGGACATGCTCCAGAGCACCGACGAGGCGGTTAAGGCGTGGCACTTGGTGGAGCGCGGCCTCATCGTGAACCAGCTTCCCTCGACAACGCTGCCGATGCCGACGCCCACGTCGACGCCGCCGCCAAGCCCGCGTGATGACGCCTCCACGACGCCAGCAGCACCGAAGCCGCGCCGACACCGCCCAGTGCAGAAGCAGCTCCGACACCGCCAAGCCCGCGCACGCCAACTCCGCCGACGCCTGGGGCAGAGCCCGTCGAGTGATGCGTTGCGCACGCGAACTTCTGCCGCTCTATTTTTTGTACACCTGACTATATCCGATCGCCGAATTATGACTTGCGATCGCCGGACTTGTGGCGTCTTTTGTGAGCGGGAACGACCAAGTTTAAATTTTCTGCGTCCTGGAGGCGGCGTCTGGGGGCGTGACTGGGAGCTAGGTCGCCCTCAGGGACCGAACTAGCGCCGGTTCGCCCCCAGACCGCTCCTTTTTAACGCCCTGGGGGGCCGAACGGCTGGAGATGCTCTAAGCTTCCTCTTTTAGTTAGAGAAATAATTCAGACCTAAAGGTGCCTTCAGGGCGCTTATGACAACTTCCAGGCCTAAACTCATAAATGCATGTTTGAAGTTTCCTTGGCTATAGCCTACATGTCAAACTTATATGACTGGCCATGAACGATAGACTGATACATGTAGAATTGTTTCACTGCACTTGTCGGCCACCATATACGTAGGGGTCTTGGAGCATCTCAAACCAATCCATAAATAAAAGGCACGGGAGGAGTAAAAAATTGGTTTTATTCCTTCAAACTGCATCTAACCGATCTCCTATATGCGTTAGAGTAAAATATTTACTTCGCGGCCGCCCAACTTTTAAATATACTCGTCCGCCCATCTTTGGAGCAAAAAAATTCGCTTCTACCCGCGCCGGCACTCTCCCCACCGCATGCCGCATCGTCGTCGGCGTTGCTTCCGGCGACCACCTTTTGCCTTCGCCTACACCTC